TTTCAGCAGTTTTATGGCATTCAGGACTTCTGCTTTTGTCGGAGGGCCTGTGTGCATTGGTAGTTCTGCTGTTGCTGGTGGTATTTCTGGACTAGTTGCAGGTGGTGGTGGTGGTGGTGGTCGATTCAAGAGCTTTCTGAAGTAGTCAGCCCATTGTTTCCTTTGTTTCTCATCTTCGCTAACCAACTTTCCTTCACCATCATTCATTGATTTCGTCTGTGTTGATCTCTTCCCAGATCGATAGTAACCCGATTATTTGATACAATGTTCTCAGGTTTCTCTTACCTGCTGCCTGTTCTGCCTCACTTGCCAATATGTCATAGAAGTGTCTTTTGTCTTTGCGCGAACTCTTCACTTCTTCATCTAGTGTTTTGTACGCTGTACTCAGTTCGTCTTTTCGTTGTGCATCCTTGCACTGGTACATCTTCTGCTTCACCATCCTCCTCTCCTCCATCAGCTTCCATGTATCCGTCGAGATCCATTCCTTGTCTCGTTTCCTCTTCCTTCCTAATAAGGTTATGCAGGTTTCTTTCCATATAGCTTTCAAAGAGTTCCAGTGTTCTTCCACACAAGTTTCTTCAGGGATGTTGCTCGATATCTCCTATTTTGTCTTGATGGCTGACGTGAAGATGTCCCTTGTAGTTTCGTCCTTCAGTTTTTGTTCTGGGCGTTGAACTTGAACCGTGGTCTATCACCAACTTTGTTGAAGGCTATCAACTTGATTTGGAAGTTTTCTTGCACTAGATAGTGGTGAGTGGCGTGAAGATACACCTGCTCCCCTTCTTCATCTTGTGTCCAGTAAGCTGAGTGCGTCTCCACTTTCTTCAGATTGAGATGAAGTCGATCTGGTTTTTAGTGTGTCCATCTAGTGAGATCAAATCCATATCGCTTTGTGAATATCCTTGTGTTTGCATACACTGCCTCCAATCACGAAATTGTTGAATGTGCAGAAATCAGCAAACAGTTCTTCATTCTCACTCATCATTTCACCGAGTGCTTCTCGACCCATGATGAGTTCTCTTTCTGTGTTGTCCGCTCCCAGTTTGACACTCATGTCGCCCATTAGAATTTTGATGTCGCCAAATGAGGTGGAGTCTTGTCTAGTACTAATCGCAGTTGTCTATAGAATTTCTCCTTCTCTTGATCTGCATTAATTGTAGGTGCGTAGTATTGTACAATTGTGACTCGTTCTTTTTGAGTTGAACCTTGCTGTCATGATCCTGATGCAGGAGGAGATTGGTTCCCACTGCATGAGGGCCTTCGATGTTCTTAGGGAAATCATGATAGCCACTCGAAAACTCAGTGTGCTCGTGGTTGTCATCAGCGTGACCGGAGTAGATTAGACTATTGACTCCTCTCCAGTTGACAGTTTGGAGAGTCCACTTGCATTCCGTCTGCAGATTCTTCGCAGATTCCAAGCACTTCCATGCCATACCTCCTCATCTCTTTTGCAATCTGAGCAGCCTCGCTAGGTTCGTACATGGTGCGGACATTCCATATCCCCAGCTTTACTTTCGCTTTCATCGAGAGGAGAGAAGACACATCGGCCGACCGGCTTCCTGAAGGTTTTCACCAACCGGCGTCATTTCGTCTCTCCGATTATTGCGAGGAATAAGTTTGTTTTTGTGTTTTATATTTTGTTTGTGCTTTAAAGTTTCTTCAGCGTTTAGATTTGTTTTCCGGGTTAGGGTTGTTAGCCCTATGCCCAACCTTCCCTCTTTTCCCGGGCTTATAACCGGCTAGTTTCTAGTGAACTAGTTAACCAGGCGAGGATCATGTTACTTATTCCAAATAATCAACTGTCAGTCGGAATAATGTCACTCACTGGGATAAAAATGTATACGTCTGGCGAGCGATAAATGGGACGAAACGCGCGTCGTTGATTCTATCACTAGCCATCAAGTAAACCATTTTTCATGTCATCTATATAAATTATTTTACATTGAGATAACTATTACTAGGTTTGAGTGAACAGTTCAAATCGTTATTGCAATACTACTACTACTACTACTACTACTACTACTACTACTACTAATAATAATAATAATAATAATAATAATAAGAACAGCGACCATCAGTATTGTCTGCCACGGATGGAGAGTTGATAGGGTAAACCTCGTGATTAATAATTCGCTTAAAGAGCATAAACAGACCACTAACGTTATACACAGAGTTAATCTCTTATTCAAACTATGATCAACTGAACAACCAACTCAGAAAGAATCTACTTTCGGTGGTTTTACAACTACAGTTTTTTTCAACGGTTATAGACAATTTTCCTCAACTTGGAGGTCCCTTGGAAGTACTTTTTGAGATTCAGGTATCGTTTTAATTTCCAACATGTATACTTTATGAATATCTGAAATATTAGGAAAATCTGGGTAGCTTATTCAAAGATAGGTGAAAATCACAAATCTGACTGCCTTATAATCATGTCAAATCTATTCGTGAAAATTATTCAAAGTCATCAAATATATCCACGTTCTCCGTATTTAACTGTTGAACTGAACCTCCCAGTAGCACACTGATGATTGCTGTCTACTGTGTTTTAGTTTCACTATCCACCTAAAGTCAGTCAACGTTTTAGGCGGGTACATTGAGCGAGATAAGATCACTTTAAAATTTGCATTTCTGATAAACTTTTCTAAATTCCTACTGCCTTTCAGGTGTACCGCTAACATTCTGAATTATATGTATACATGGTAAGAGTATGGTAATTTTGTTCACTTATTTATGTACTATTAATTAGATTTTCTGTCATATAATCTACATAGGAATACTTTTCTAGTCAGGAAACTGTCAATTTATTGTCATTTGTCTCTTTATCTTTAGCAGACTTCCGAGAATATATGGGTTTTGTTTCATTGAAGTTGTGGCGTCTAGTTATTATTTTGTTACATCAAAATGTAGACATATCAGATGCTAGCTGATTTCTTTTTTTGATGATATGGAAGGCAATTATCTGCTATGACACTTTTTTTTACGACAAATATTTACGATACGTTTTAGTTTATGAAATGTACAAAGAATTATTTCAGTAGTAGGTTGAAAACCTCAGAAAATAAATTCGTCAGTATATCAGATGGACGAAATCACTATCCTATGATTTACCTATGTTTTACCAGTGTTATGCTTAGTATGTCCTAAAGAAAAGGTAGGAATCAACACAGAAAGATCTAAATCAAATTTCGTCAGATTTCCAAACGTCATCTAGCTATATATCATAGTTCTTTTGATTTAGAAGCAACACTCTGGGTCGTGTCACAGTTTTAAAAAGTATATGAAATGACCACGACGAATAAAAATAATGAGGTTTAAACAAGGTTGAATATCGTCAGTCAGCTATAAATCCATGAAGTTAACCGGTGGTTAGAACGTTTGTCCGAAAACAAGTACAGAGTATTTTAGATCTCAGTGTACTGTTTATCAAAAGAATGTGAGAACTAACATTGGGTTAATATGTATCTTCCACAATTCTTTCGGTTTATAATCCATTTGAGGGGAAACGTTGTTTTATAGAGGGTGAGTTGTTAGGATTTTGCAGACTATCAGAATTTATGAAATGCCACTAAGACTTTTAACCCTGAGGCCGTGAAATGAATGATGTCGAGTATGTACTGCGTTGTATTCTCTAGGTTTTTATTACGGTAAAGGTGTTTTCAGGAACTTTAGACATACACAGTGGTAATGAATGACCTAAGTGTTAACAGCACTCAACACAGTAAAATAAAGGTGAGTAGAAACCTGTAAAGTAAAATATTCGTCCAGGTCACCAAACTTCATATTAACACATATAAACAAGGTCAATAAAGAACAGAAAAATAGACACAAAAGATCAACGGACAAAATTATACCATCGATAAAGGGTCAGTAAGAGTGAACTACTTACTGAACTACTGAATTTCACAACTTACAATTTAGCTACTTGTTAGAAGGATGTTATTTACTCCTCCGCGAACTGTTGTCTTCTTAAGTAAGAAAACTTTGTTCAAGGTGGGCGACGCTACGCTTACGATATTCTCATTGATAATAACATTTCATGTTTAGACTCATTTTAAGCTGAAGTATTTCTCCAGAACTCTTAAGAATAGCCCCTAATTCAAATCAGTCATAAGTGTTATGTTTTACTTGAAAGCAACATGATTTTTGGGACATTCGTAAACATCCAGTACATAGTCTTTGAGAATGTCCTGAAGGAATTTGAGCGTCGACTTTGATTTAATCAATATACGCATAAGTCTTAAAATAATCCCAGGATATTCAGGAATATTCCGGACATCCTGCTGAAGAAGACATGGCATGCATAGCGAAATTTTTAGAAAAATCTTGTTTTAAATTTCCAAACACATCGAGATTAGATTAAATCGTACTTACGTAATGACTAACTAACATTTTAAAGTTGGTTTTTTAACAAATCACATGTTTAAAAGAGTAACTAAACAGAAGACTAAGAAGGTGGATTATGGACTGCATGAGGTACACATCTATCCATTCCTGCTTGTTATCGAAATCTAACCCAATAGTGTTCTCGGTAATTAGTTATAATAATATTTCTCTATCAACTACTGAGATAAGCTGAATTCGTATCTCGTACATTCCATATGGGTTTCATTTGGTTAGTCCAAGAAGGCAAGAATGCTTTGAGGATCTCGTAGACCTTTATCAAGGGGATAAGAAGATTAACTGAATATCCCTATAATGACTACTTCTTGTGAATGTGAAATTATTTTTTATTCTGAATAGATTTCCCTCAAATATACAATTCCAGTGACGATTTCTACTCTGCATACTAGGACGTATTTAACACCCGCGCCTATACAATGAGTAAAACAACCCTTTAATTTAAAATATACATTTTATGCACCATCTCGTCAACAGAATTACTAGGGAATCAAGCTTTTGATGTATAGAAGATTGAGTTAATAAATGTCTACTATTATTACTCATAAACATTTCGTTAAAAAATCACACGAAAAAATATTTCACTTTGAATGACTTACTCTGTTGTACAAGTGATCCAGCAGTGAACCAAAAGCTGTTTCTCAGTGTAAATTGATTTTGTATAGTTGGATAGCATGGATGTCGAGCATACCATTCATTTGGTGAGACCCGCCCAATCAGGAATAGTATTAAGCTGACTACAAAATAAGCGATTCCAACAGATAACCAAACCTAAAATTTAGAAATACAGTATTAATAATATGATAGTTTTCGATAATGGTTTATCAATTTTGGCAAATGTTCTAACCCAGGAATTTTTATATGGTTAGTAAGTTACGTTACTTGCTTAGCAGGAACGTTTTGATTTCTGTGATAAATCTTGTGTAATTTAGAGTACTCATGACGGTTATAGTTAGAAATACAGAACTGTTTGCAGTTTAGTACTGTCAAGGGAAATAACAAACAGTATTGTTTTTTTATTACACGCTTGAGTACTCGTTTTTTCACTTCGCAATAAATCAGTGTCTCCATAATCGTGTTCTCGATCTTACGAAAGGTGTTATATATCTTCTATTCATGCTGTATGAGTAACGTGAGGTAATCAAGTCCATTACTATTGTTTTGCTAATGGCGAGTCACATTATACATTAGTGTATGAGCCAAAAGAGTTTTGACTGTTGTTTCTTGTAGGGAAATTTATAATAACTAAAATGTCAGTTAATATGAGGAAGTAGTGTTTGATACTTTCTTCTTGTACGTTGGTGTTTCACTAATCTACACCAGATAATTTTGAGAACTGACATGTATAATTTTATACTTGGTTTTGCAAGTATCTCAATATTCAGTAATAATAACAATAATAATAATAATCGCTTTCTATCCAAACAACTTGTATGATACAGTATGGAATTTTCAGGATGGAATATTTCAACAAACTCACTTTCCATACAATATTTTTAAAAAGAATAATCATTACGTCTGTATAGTGTTAATAATAACATTATCGAAGGCATAATTATGAAACGGACAGCTAGTGTTACATTAGCATCTGTTCTGGATTCAGAAATTAAAACAAAATCAAATGTAATTTTGATTTCGGCAATTTAGTCAGCCAGCACAGATATTCACAATTCCATGTAGGTATCCTAGGAATAATAGTTTGGTGTATTTTTGAGCATTTGTAAATCCATTTCCAATCGGTGGAACGTTTTTTCTTTGTTTTGTTCTTAGCTTGAGAAACGAAAGTTTGAAGGCATTTTAAAACTGTGCGAGAGTACATGGTGTGTTCAGAAGACATCTAAAAGATTAAAACAAACTAAAAGGGAAGAGTTTGATGGAATTTAGTCGATGGGAAGTTTTCTGGTAGCCCAAGATTTAGGCAGGGCACCTCACAAGAAGTGAACAGAGAAAAATATCATTTTATTCACTGGTATTTGATTGTTTTTACTTGCAACCACTTCGATATTCTTGTGCTGGTCAACGGACCTAATTTCTATGCTTTATTGAATTCTCTGAATCAACTTTGATTACTTCGTCATCTAAAAAAGCATCAAAGCATCAAGTATCATTTAGATTTGAATACGAAGGATTAAATCTCCTGTAAAAGTTGACGTTTTAATTTCCTTATAGTGCAAAATAATTCACAGTTCATCAATTTTTCTATCCAGCTGAAGATTCAACATACAAGACTCAGTTTCAGTTAGTGTACTTTGTAAAAGTATTTCAATTCAAGAAGTTTATGCACTTATAGCCATTTCTTTACAAGAAGGAGGAAGACAAAATGAAAATCGTGTAAAAATCAGCATGATATCATGGCAGACTTTTACTTAAACATACTGGATGACCTTAGTTTTGTCCTCTTCAATATCTATTTTCATAAATACTTTTTCAATGAGGAGGAAATATCTAATACTACCATATTATAAGGAAACTGCGAATAACTTCCAGATTTTGGTGTTTAAGTTTTTCTGAAGCTAGGACTTAAAACGATCGACACTGCACTGTTGCTGGCTTTCTAAAATCAAGCCCTTAAAATAAATATGATGAGTAGTTCACACTTATTTTATTTTTTATCTTTCCAATAAGTAGAAAAAGACAAATATCTGTCTACATTCAGGACAGTTGTGCTGTTATGTATGATTCCCGTTGTCCCCTCTACGTCAATAAAGAACTCGCTTCAACAGTTCCTGGGCGATGGTTTACAGGAACAATTAGTGCATAGATATCAAAGATGAAGAATAAACTAGCCTCCAATTAGATGTTGAATAATATAGTTTTACCAATGAAACTTGTTTAAGACTTTTTAGTTGAACTGAAATCCTAAATCCCCCTACGTATCCATGAGAAAGAATCAATACCTTTCTGAAGTATTGCCGTGTTTTACCGATGTCATGTGAAACCGTTTCCACCCACTAGAGAGTGGTTTCTGTCACATACTCAAGTGGTTTTGTTGTGCAGAACATATGTTTCAGTCATATCATTATTGCAGAAAAATACTCAATGAATTTAGATCGTTCGCACTTCAAACGTTAACAATAACAAAAAATACTTAAAATCTGAAATATTGGTTTTTTTTAAATGTCCGCAAAATATTTATCTACTGCATAAATTGTGATTTTACCAAAAGAATGCCAAAAGAAACAGTATTTTATCATCATAGAAGATATCCTGTGGATAGAATACCTAATTTTATTCTGTTCATATTGATTAGCTAGACGTTATTATTGTATTGAGATTAACCAATAAAAGAAGAAGGATGATCAGGTTGTGATTAATAAGATGTATGCATTACAAGTTTGACCTGGTCTGTGTGAACGCAACTCATATTTAAGACTTATAAGTGCAGCAACTTCATGTGAACACTTCTTAATTAACTACAGCATAGACAGATAAATGATCCCAGCTCATCGCTGAGGGCTTCTAAGAGTGGAACTTCATTCTCGAGGAGCGTTAATTTGCTTCAGTGTTTAGAAGAATTTTTTTAATCTTTCGACTTAAATTAATCAGTAAAGCAAGGACAGTTATTCTTTCACTTTTCCTAGTCTTAGTTTAACAAATTGTTTATACTTCTTAATCCCGCTTCACATTAAGACTAATTCAGTTCACATTAACAAGCTGTGCTTGAAGAAGCTCAACTGTCTGTCCGATGAAAAGTGCTTGATAAAACTCCTAATCTGAACCAGCTAAGCAACTGTTAAACTAGGTTTACTGAATAGTCTTAAAATTAAGTGATTCATGAGTCTGTGATATTCTGAATCAACTGTATAAGTTAGTATTTGGATAGCTGATTTCTTCAAAATCATTTTCAGCTTCCAGGTTACCTTTGATAGGTGTGTGTTTTAGCTACTAGTATCTGAATCATGTAAAGAGAGAGCTATTTTGTCTTTTTCACCTCGGCATACGTGCTTGAGAAAACTGTTTTTTAATCTGCTAATACTGATTTTATCGATTCATTTATAAGAGATGAAGGGTAACAGTGCCGTTTTATTTTCATCGGTCTTGCATCTTCACTTATCACAGAAACAGTCTTCAGCATCAATCTAATCCTGTTTCTCACTACGGCTACCAGAAGGAGTGTTCTATCAGCCTTGTAATCTGATTGTGAAAGACTATCATAATGTTTAGTAAGTTTATTAGTAAGAAACTCATACCTTCTGAACTTCGTATCTTCCTCTTTTTTGAAGATGATGTACTTGACTCCTCAAAGTAAGGATAAAACTTGTACATTGCGGTAAACTATAATTCCATATTAAATTGTTTATTTGAAACAGGATATAAGGACGCAGTATTTTTTATCGGATGATATTTTGAGTGCGATTCACTACTCATATTCATATCCTCACTCGATAGAGTTATTCAAAAATGAAAGGGGTAGTTAACGGTAACAAAAGTTGACTTGTGTCGAAAAGCAAACATAAAACTTATTTAAGATTTTCTTTCACAATTAATTAGCAAATAATTCACTTGAACTACAAAATTAAGTAAATGTCTCCGATATCATGAAAGTCCTGTTTGTAGGGATAAGACAAGTGATGTAAGTTGGGCTAGTTGTTCGCTTCTCATTGACGACCAACATGTATGTATCTGTTTAGTATTTTAACGACGAGACATAAATTCATAAACCACTTGTGGACGAATGGCTCCGAAAATTTGATAGTCCGATGAATGATACTGAGAAAACACTAGTTAATGGGCTTGAATACTCTAACCTGAAAATGTTGTTTACAGGCACCAAAGATTTCCTCAATCTTTTCAACAGTGCTTCAGTAGGCTAATACTTAAGAAAGATTCTACGGCAAGAATATAACTGTTCAGTGCACTGCGATTTCGACGGAAATTAGAAATAGCTTTGGTTACAGCTTTACACAATCATCCGTGATTGGAAGCCGTTAACAGGTGGACGCATACATTCGCTACTTTTTCATACGTAACATAAAAATTTAAAGTAACGTCAATGATTTATTCTGCAATGGAGTTATATCTACCAAATTTGTCTTTGTGAATATAAAACAAATATTTTTTGAAATACTTCAACAGTTCAGTCTTCAAATTTTTGAATTCGAATAAAAAAATAACATAGACAGCTTGTCATGCTTATTTTTGCAACGTGGAGTAACTTCTCTTTTTCTTATGCAAACATTTTAGTGATTAAACAGTGGGATGAACTTAAGTTTCACTGAAGGCAGTTACCACTTCAAATTCATCCTCTCTGTAACTATGATACTCTGCTTGACAGTGAAATATCTAGAAGTTGGAAAATAACATGTGATATCCGTGAATTAACTAGACTTCTTGATTTACTACTTGAAAATTTTTTATTTACGAACAAGTTGAAACTAGACGAACCAACCTCATTTGATAGGGGTGCTGTGAATTGCAGTCCAGGGTCAGAATTACTTTTCTGTATGATGACGCTTAGAGAAAGACTCATGAATGGCGTGGTGAAATCGATGACACGTTCTCGGTCGTAAGTAATAGTAAAGGATGCTACTGCGAGATCTGCTTTCTAAAACAAAGAGAGAGAAAGAGATAAGAATAAAAGAACAAACGACGGAGATCTCAGAAGTAGCTTAGCCTTATTTCTACTCTTTAATTCATTCTATACAGCAATATATATATATATATATATATATATATATATATATATATATTGAATTGAAAGTAATACTTCTATCCGTTAAGATTTAGGAAGACATTGCTTACGTGAAAATGATAAAAGAAGATAAACAAGTCTACTACTGGCTAACTGGTCAACATAAGTTCATCAAAAAGGAATGTTCTGGGATAAAATAATGAATTGTTTCTAGAGCGAGAAAGAGATTGCGTAACCAGAGGATGTATATGGAAAAACACTTGATTAGCTCCCATTATATCTCTTCTCTATAGCATTCTTCCAAAATCCTATTCAAAGTCAAACCAAACCGTCGAATAAGGGTGAGGATTCATCTTTTATGTAAGGATGAAGTGTTGGCATACCGCAATTTAAACCCAAGGTCTGAACTTAGAAGAGACAAGTTGAATCTCCTATTCTGCTATGATCATAACCCCCTTCCGAGTTTTTTCATTGACTCAATATTCATCTTAATCCAACTGACTGATTTTCATTGTTGTTTTTACTTTATAGTTTAATTTCATAATTCTCTTGATAACTTACTCCGGTGATTGGCTATGATGATAATAACAATGATTTTTATCAGGCACCCTCGTGATCGACTGTATAATTTTACTACACACCCCGCGATTACACAATCTCTTTCGAACTTTAGAAGAGACCTACAGATTCATAACGAAACATCCAGTTTCGATAAACTAATGTTGACTTTTCACTACTATTATTTGTCCCTTGAAATCCCAGTAAAACAAAGAGGTACGGCAGCACATCTCCATTCCACTTTGTTCTCTGAACTGTTTTAAAACTGGTTACACGACTGCCCAGTATCCTTCAATTCCTACTCACATGATCTCCTTCCCGTAAGACCAATCCAACTGCTAAACAAAGTTCAAAACACAAACAAAATATAAAACACAAAAACAAACTTATTCCTCGCAATAATCGGAGAGACGAAATGACGCCGGTTGGTGAAAACCTTCAGGAAGCCGGTCGGCCGATGTGTCTTCTCTCCTCTCGATGAAAGCGAAAGTAAAGCTGGGGATATGGAATGTCCGCACCATGTACGAACCTAGCGAGGCTGCTCAGATTGCAAAAGAGATGAGGAGGTATGGCATGGAAGTGCTTGGAATCTGCGAAGAATCTGCAGACGGAATGCAAGTGGACTCTCCAAACTGTCAACTGGAGAGGAGTCAATAGTCTAATCTACTCCGGTCACGCTGATGACAACCACGAGCACACTGAGTTTTCGAGTGGCTATCATGATTTCCCTAAGAACATCGAAGGCCCTCATGCAGTGGGAACCAATCTCCTCCTGCATCAGGATCATGACAGCAAGGTTCAACTCAAAAAGAACGAGTCACAATTGTACAATACTACGCACCTACAATTAATGCAGATCAAGAGAAGGAGAAATTCTATAGACAACTGCGATTAGTACTAGACAAGACTCCACCTCATTTGGCGACATCAAAATTCTAATGGGCGACATGAGTGTCAAACTGGGAGCGGACAACACAGAAAGAGAACTCATCATGGGTCGAGAAGCACTCGGTGAAATGATGAGTGAGAATGAAGAACTGTTTGCTGATTTCTGCACATTCAACAATTTCGTGATTGGAGGCAGTGTATGCAAACACAAGGATATTCACAAGGCGATATGGATTTGATCTCACTAGATGGACACACTAAAAACCAGATCGACTTCATCTCAATCTGAAGAAAGTGGAGACGCACTCAGCTTACTGGACACAAGATGAAGAAGGGGAGCAGGTGTATCTTCACGCCACTCACCACTATCTAGTGCAAGAAAACTTCCAAATCAAGTTGATAGCCTTCAACAAAGTTGGTGATAGACCACGGTTCAAGTTCAACGCCCAGAACAAAAACTGAAGGACGAAACTACAAGGGACATCTTCACGTCAGCCATCAAGACAAAATAGGAGATATCGAGCAACATCCCTGAAGAAACTTGTGTGGAAGAACACTGGAACTCTTTGAAAGCTATATGGAAAGAAACCTGCATAACCTTATTAGGAAGGAAGAGGAAACGAGACAAGGAATGGATCTCGACGGATACATGGAAGCTGATGGAGGAGAGGAGGATGGTGAAGCAGAAGATGTACCAGTGCAAGGATGCACAACGAAAAGACGAACTGAGTACAGCGTACAAAACACTAGATGAAGAAGTGAAGAGTTCGCGCAAAGACAAAAGACACTTCTATGACATATTGGCAAGTGAGGCAGAACAGGCAGCAGGTAAGAGAAACCTGAGAACATTGTATCAAATAATCGGGTTACTATCGATCTGGGAAGAGATCAACACAGACGAAATCAATGAATGATGGTGAAGGAAAGTTGGTTAGCGAAGATGAGAAACAAAGGAAACAATGGGCTGACTACTTCAGAAAGCTCTTGAATCGACCACCACCACCACCACCACCTGCAACTAGTCCAGAAATACCACCAGCAACAGCAGAACTACCAATGCACACAGGCCCTCCGACAAAAGCAGAAGTCCTGAATGCCATAAAACTGCTGAAATGCAGGAAAGCAGCAGGACAAGATGGAATCCCACCACAAACACTGAAAACAGACGCAGAGACAACAGCGGACATGCTCACACCACACCACTATTGCAGAAGGTCTGGGAGGAAGGGAAGGTACCTGCAGATTGAAAAAACGGTCACCTTGTCAAACTCCCGAAGAAAGGAGACCTCAGTGTTTGCAAGAACTGGCACGGAATCACTCTCTTGTCCATCCTAAGCAAAATATTAAGCCGCATCATCCTGGAGAGACTAAAAGATGCTCTCGATTCAAAATTACGACCGGAACAGGCAGGCTGGATTCAGGAAGTACAAATCATGTGCGGATCAAATCGCAACGCTACGCTACGCATCATCATATAACAGAGTATAGAATGGCAGTCAACTGGATCTCTATCTCAACTTCATCGATTTTGGAAAGGCCTTCGACAGCGTTGACCGAGAAGTAATTTGGCAGCTGCTGCTTCAACACTACGGTGTGCCACAAGTCTTTATCAATCTCATTCAACAACTATATGAAGACGCCACGTGCCGAGTGATCCACAATGGAAAGCTCAGTGATGCCTTTGAAGTGAAGACGGGAGTAAGACAAGGCTGCCGCCTACTTTCACCCATGGTCTTCCTGATTGTGGTCCACTGGATCATACAGCAAACCGTGAGGAGCGAGAAGATGGGCATATGCTGGCTGGACCGATGAAAAGAGCCTAGAAGATTTGGATTCCGTCGATTACCTGTGTCTAGTGTCGCACAAACTCGAAGATCTACAGGCGAAAACTAACAAGTTGTCAGAAGAGGCAGCGAAGATGGGACCTCAAGTGAACGTAGAGAAGACGGAGGTGATGAAGATACACAACGAACACCACCATCACCAACAACAACAAGCACCAATCACCATCAACGGGAGAAATCTAAATTAAGTGGTCTTTTTCACTTACCTAGGCAAGGCAGAATCGTTTCAACTGCAGGCGTCACAGGCACAGACGAGGATGACAAAGCAGCCAGGATTCGAAAAGCGAGACAGGCTTTCACCAGTGTGGAGATCTACTGCACTCATCATAAAGCGCCAACAAGATCCGGATTTTCAACATTAATTCAGTCAAGTCAGTGCTTCTATGTTGTTCAGAGACTTGGCGCGTCACGAAAAGCATTTTCAACAAACAACAGACATGCATGAAGCAATAGGTGCCTACGCTCACTCGATGCTGAAGCCCAGACGGCCAGAAAGAATCAGCAACAAGGGACTCTGGCAACGAATCAACCAAGAACCTATCGCTGAAGTAATATGCAGAAGTGGGTAATGGACTGAATTTATTTAGGTGTATACGCTTACATTACACTAAGCTGAAAACGCAAGCGTCTTGTTTAGTTCTTATTACTTCGAACGAACCTTAAATACTTTGTGATTACTTTGAGTTATTTTCTGCTCACTTATCTTGATATTGAGATAATGATACGTGCTTTTAGCCAATTAATGATGCATCGAATATAATTGACTAAATTTCTATAATTAGTTGTAGGGCTTTGGATATTTACAATGGAGGCCTAATTAAGCCTATGCTTTTTGAGTTCGCATAGTGTTAGGGAAGTTAGATAGCTACATATATGGAATGTGCTCAGCTTAGGAAGCTAAGGGTTGAAAGATCTGCTAGACATCAGTGGGTTTTGGTTGATGTTCTACCACATTCTACACCCAAATAAATCAACTTGTCCAAAAGAAAATCACCACTGCATGAATCTGACTTAGCAGTTCACTGTCTTAATGAATGACCTACGAAGTTTTCTGAAGTTCATGGTAATAATGTGGTTTGTAAAGACTGAAAGGTTCACGATCAAAGCAGTCAGCTCAGATGACCAGTTAAAATAAAAAACAATTCATAAATGTTTTGTATTGGTAGTTTAATTGGTTGTAGCTAGCAAAAGAATCTAGTATCTACTTTCCCTTCTCCTTGGGACTCTTCAGCCGGATGTGCCTGTACCCCAGTGACTGATGCTGTTCCCACTGGGACTTGAACCTCATCACCATTGGTTCAAATGACAAAGCTTTACTCACTGGGCCACTGAGGTACGTTTACCATCTCTTGTACAATGGGTATTAGTTATAACTTGTTGACATACTTGTTTTTCTCCATTGTTAAACTGAATCGAATTATTCGACCTCTGTTGGTATTTGGGCTTCTATGTGATGCCTCGATATTGCCTGAATATTATGTATAGACAAATAGTGGTAAACACTTTGTTTACACACTTTTTATGTACGCATTCATGATAATTGCTGCTTTATGCAAGGTTGTATAGACCTGTTTACTTCGAATTAGGAAATCAGGTTAAAAACAAAACTGAACAAATTTACTGCTTGAAGTAATCATATTAAGCAATCATGCCTATGGCTTACCTTATAAACAAGGTCACCAATAAGTCCATCCCATTTCCCCTTACTCTCATCAAATGTTCCAAACTTTTTATCACTAACAGGTTTGATAATATAATCAAAGTGGTTCATTTTACTTAAATGTTGTAATAACTCCATTGCAAATCCTGTCCATTGGTCATTACCCTCTAAGTGTACACCTTGGCGATATGGTTCAAATATTACAAATGGAGGATCCTAAGATAAAAGGTAACAATATTATACTTTATGAACAGCATCAATTTACATGCATATACAATATAAGGATATTTCAGTTGCCTTATCATCTGTGAAATTTAAGTTTCAGGCAAAGTTGTAAATCGCAGCCTTCAGTTCAATTTCTAATGAGAAGCCGTGACTTATGGGGTCAAGCAACTCGAAGTGAAACTGATGGCAGCTAAATACTGTGGTAGATGGCGACGCTAGATGGTGAATTGACAACAGTAGGAAACTGAGAACAACGAAACTCTGATCTAATAGCTCAGTGGTCATTGCGTTCACCGAGAGACCTGAAGTTTCTGAGCATCTCTCATAGGGTCATGAGTGTGTATTGGGGAGGCGTTGCGTACTAGGACAGAACAACTGGTGAATGCTCCCAGGTTTCCAATGATTCTGTAACTAGTCTCAGTCCATGATGTATACTGCCTTGAAATGAATTCTTCATAAACCTGAAGACGAAAAATGCCGGTGTTCTTTTCATTGACAAGAAGGCAGTTAGGAGTGTGCACCGATCCGTCACCTGGGTTGAATTTAATTCAGAATGGAAAAAATTTCATTCATGCTTTGAATTTACTTTACACTTCAGTTGATGTTTATTATTTCGATGCAGTAGACGAAAATTAATGAATTCAGAGGGCGTCTGACAGCCTCCATCATCTTAGAATTTTCGACGAATATGAACCAATGTGCTTCTACGCCACTAACACTGTCTTTATCATCAAATTACGTAGGCGTTTAACTATGAAAAAATCTTCAACTGAATTCTAGAGCTACGCACGCACAGGTTCAAACTGAAGTGTGAGTATTCGAACGACTAAGAAATACGGTCTAATGACAAAGACGTGTGATTATAAAATCAGGAACTTGAGTATTCCACCAAGTCTCAACTAACCACCTATTATCAGCAAGATAGTGAACTATGGTGAATTCAAGAGCCAGGTTTGTCGGCTTACTTTTGGTTTTGTTATTCATTCACTTGAGATATCCAACTGTTTCGGTTGTGTGCTGTGTGCATGACAACAATCGATATCCTTTATGTTATTGGAGGGGTGTTATGTGGGTTTTATGAAGGATTAAGTGCAAATATTTTTTGTTAGAATTTGTTGAGGTGCTATATCTCCAAAATGAACTTTTGTGCTTAAATTTTAAGGAATTTACTTATGGATAATATGAATCATTTTTTTCGCGCCTTTTCCGGCCCCATGTAACCTGTTCAGTTTCACCACTTCTAAGAACGTTATCTTATCTGTCCGCCCCAAGACCACATACATTCTATATAAACGCGAGAGTTGCACCCCTAAGTTAAGAATTTCTTTATAAAGTAAGCTATCTTTAGTCCAATCTTGTCTTCTTCCTCATGCGAGTCCGGGGAGTTTCGAGTATCTTATCGTTCATCCAGTAACTGAATTACGTGCCCCAATTAACCGTATCCGACAGTCTCCAGAGAAAAGGTACTTGAATAATTGTTTTACAAATTAGTCATATTTGACCGTTATTGGTGAATGTTCTTACAATTTCTTATTCTAAGTCTGCTGAACTAAACATTTTAAAGATTAATAATGCAGTAACTGCTAGTGCATTTCTCTGATTTTCATGGTAATGCTTAATCATTTGATAGCTGTATTACCCTAACAATTGCCTGGTCCAAAGTAGCTAAAACTAGGTACTGACCTTTTACGAACTGGCTACAAATTCTCCGGCGTATACTGAAGAAACTACTCGGTACGAATAAGTAACTAAATAAACTTAGTGGCTGATAGTAAAATGAAATAACTGGGAATTGAATATTCAAGGAATACATTCAATATTCTCTTGACGATTAGAATTAAAGTTCAGTTCATATAATTTTGAAAGCTTAATCACACGAAATTATCTGCTTACAAATTAGGAAATACTACTTTCTTGTTGATTGTAAGCATTTCTAATCAGGGACTATTCAAGGTGTCGAAGAAATGAAACACGGAATGCATAATTTTGTCCAATCATGTGCTTTTTATGCTTTTTCAATGGATTTTATTTCAAATCTGTAAGACAAAAAACATTAATCTCGCTTTTTAAGGTCTGAATCCAATGGTTAAAACACAACTCGGTTCAATATGGTTTGGTAACTTGCGGTTATTTTTAATTCTCAGCCTACTTTCATACTGCGAACAGGTGCTTTACTTTATTAGTAAGAGGTTATTTACGAAGATGAACAGATGTTAGGACTTTCAGTATTCAGCAACCTTCTATATTTCTGTTGACTGAGCGAACTTTATCAATAAATCTTTCATTAGTACATACTCTATTGTTCTGTTAGCCCCCTCTCAAAGAGTCAGTCAATACAGCGTTTTTAGCAAATAATCTCACCATAATGATGATGAGGATGTCTTTGTGTTTTTTATGAATTCAGATCTGAACATCATGTTATATTTAGGCATTTCTTCATCTTAATTCGGCGTTGTAACTACCACAGTCATAACTCCTTGATAAGTTAAATACTTAAGTATCATTTTTGGAGTGAGTTTAAAGACCATATTTCTTTAATTAGGCAGACAGAGGTAAATCAAATTAGGTTAGTCCCTTTTAACTTACTTCTATAGTCGTAACAATGAATGTTTTATTCAAATATTTTGTTCCACTTTGTGGGAAGGCAGTTTCAACTGGCTGTTTGTACACAAATCCATGCTTCAGTGACCAGTCTGCCAACTACAGAAAAACAAAACATTGAAATAGCTGTAAGTGAAGGAAAGGGAATATATATATTGAAAGAAGAATGACATAAAGGAAAATGACTCAAAAATGAAACTTAAAATACTCCAAAGTAGCATTTTACCGAGTAAACAGATATGTAAACTGTGGAAAAAGGTAACTCAGATTAGACCAACTAGACAAGATTATTGCTGTCTTTTAGAATAGTTGGATACTTTAATACAGTTTTCATTTCATATTCAAGTTTGTGTCAAACTCTAGACATAATTAAAAGCAGTTCCGTGTACATGATAAATGCAAATATTGAGGAAATATGAAGTTAGAATTTTCGTATTTTGTTATTACTAGTGAGATACAGTTGGTTGACAAATGAGATAGAGATGGTGGATTATTGAAAACCATAGAAAACAACTGTGGGAAATGAGTGCGTCCACAAGTCTTTCGTCCGGATTCACCTGTGACAATCATAGTTAATTGTATGTTTGAAAGACGATCATTAAAAATATCCTAAGGGCTTAAATGAGTACATTAGGTTGGAAAACTTAGTATACAAAGGTTGCAAAACAAGAATGGTTAACATGATAGGCTCTTGACATGATTAGTCTTCTATTGGTAATTTTTTCTAACAGTCTGTGTCAGTTGAGAATGATCTCTGCTTTTTGGTGTCAATATACTGCCGAAAAATCCCACTTTCTAACCTGAAAGGTTTTGAAACGCTGGTTTAGCTACATATATGGAAAAAAACCACGGCTATCTCAGATAATTAAACTGAAAAACATATCTGTTTTGAATGTTTCACCGCACTGATTTTCAATGATCATTATTCTGTCTCCCACCTTAATTGTTCTCATATTCTTCATCTAGATGACCAGAAGATAAACAGACAGTTAAATAATGAATAAGAATGGTCGGCTAGATAGAGTCCAAGCCGAAAAGGTGAGATCCCAACGTTTTAACAATCTTTCACTCCAGTCATCTAGTCATCAGCGAAGAAAATTACTTGACTTAGTCACTCAAAACATGCAGGTATAACTGTCAGTACGATAATTACCGCTAGTTTCTAGATGTAGTTTTGCTATCCTGCAATTCATATCTTGGTTGAAATGAAACCATTTTTAAAACTGATGTAGAATAGTCTGAGTGATGGAAGATATTTGTAGCTCAGAAGGATCATTTGTATGGTGATGTGTTCTCTGAACTGAAGGGTTTAGTCGAAAAGCTCTCATTGTCATGCTAGATAACATCATCAGCACAATCTTTGGAAAGAAGTGAGCTATAGGGTCTTCTCCCCAAGTCCCTTAGTAGCTTGTCCTGATGACCTTGTATGTGATTGATTGTTTCTCTCGAGAGTCTTGTCATTGTCTCCATGTTTATTTTGATTGATGGTCTTGAGGGCCGTGAACATTGACCTTGTCGTTGTTTCTTATTGGTTGACAGATTGGGTCAGTGTCAGTATGTCTTTTGGTAGCTGACTGAGGTGAACACCAAGCTTCTAAAATTTCTCTACCAGAGAACATATCACCATCAACATTATGTTAGTAACACAGAAAAAATCATTTCATACTACGTGAAAAGAATGAGAACTAGAGATTAAAATAAATCGGAAAAAGTGAAAGCTAATAGAGGGAGCTGGTAAACTTACATAACTATGTATCAGCGAAAATTACCGTAGTAATTAATGAAGGATTGACAGCTGTCCGTTTTTATACTTTAGATGATTTACTCGGTAAATAAATGAATTATACTGTGCTTTATTTTTACTTTTAATTTCTTGTTGTTACACTAGATCAAGCTGCTCAACCTCTGCTGGTAGTGTTCTCGTATGCAGGTGCCTCGACACTGTCCGATAATTCATTATGTTATAGTGTATAAGGTGGCTAGTAGTGGAATTCTAGGTGAGCAACGGGAAATTACAAGTACTGGTTAACAACAGTTGATACCCTTGGCTATCATGCCTCAGTGGCCTAGCGAAGAACGCTTTGGCGTTTGGAGAGATGAGTACTGGGTTCGGGTCTCAGTGGGAATACCATCATCCTTTTGGGTGCAGACAAATCCGACTGACTAGTCTCAAATAGGATGAGAAGCACGTCGTAGTTTCCACTACTAGCGACTAGGTACACTTCAGCATAACGGATATGATTGTTGCTTTTTGTTTCAAACAGTTATGCATTGACATCTTAGTCGTACACACTGAGTACTGCTAATGCGTAATAAAAATTCTCTAACATACTGCAAATGATAGATTCTTGTTCATGAAAACCAGCCAATTTCTGCTACAGATGTACTGCAGTGCTGAGCCGATAGTTATTTTCCTTAAAATATTTATCTGATTGTGGCTGATGGTCCACAACTATTCACAGTTTCCAACATAGAATGATTTACTTACAAGATATCAACAGCAGTAAAATAAGAACCTTCAGGTGAAGGCAATTTATACATCAGTATGTGTGTTCCCATCACCTGGGGTGTGATAACTTTATTACTGCTTCTTTTAATGATCGTGAATGAAAAATTCGTAAGATTAGAGAATCCAAGTGCATTGGTGTTTACCGATCAGGACAAAATACAAGTGCAAGGCAACAGTCTATGACATTTTCTGGATTCGAGTTATTGCTACAGTACTACTGTACTTGGAGTGGTCCAGACTTTCATACTGCGCTAAATTAACTAACCATTTTGATTTCAAAAACCTAGTCAATGTTGAGCTAAGCATCTGTATGTTGAGTCAGAACCCTGCACAGATGTTCTGCTCTGTGCTTAGGGCATGTTTGATTGTAGTTTCCTCTTCAGTTAAGAATTATCAATAATCAAGGGAGAGTGGACAGATAATTCTTGTGGTTTTCGAGCTGAGTGAATTGTAGCTTGATTGGTCAACTCAAAATTCTAGTTAAATGAAAGCTTAGTTATTTTTTTTGGAAAGAATAATATTTCCCAATTAAGAGGAAAAAAATATAACTTTCAATGACGTTTATTTATTTGTTTATGATTTTAATGTTCATTGTTATGCATTTTTAAACAGCAAAAAAATGATATACTGAGTAGAGAAACCTTGGACAATTCTTCTGTAGATAAAATCTCATAAAAAGAGTAACCGAAACCAACCATATGCTCAACACAAAACAAAATGCTTCATATACTTCATACTTGTTGTAGTCGTCCATTTTTCAAGTGTATAAGTTCAAGGCCATAATCCAATATTGGACTGATTTTATTTGAATCCGTATAACCGATACGCGAATGAAGCACTTGCTAGAAAAATGAATAACAAACAGTAGATTAGTCCAACTATAGGCGAAAGGAATGATCGATAAATAATGGTTTGTGACAAAACTTTCTATAGGGAAGTAATGAAACTAGTTTTGCGTAAATGTTCATTACGTACTGGTATCGGTTAGGGTAACACTGAAAACCTGGGAGCACTGAACACTGTTTCGTCTTAGTATGTGACTCCTCGCCAGTGTACACCTATGACACCACCATGACACAGACACAGAACCACCAGTTTCCGCGGTAAGCACGTTACCAGTGAGTAGATGGTTTGCCTCACTGGTCACGGTTTCGCATCGGAACTTTGGGGAACCTTGTGCCAAAGCGAGCCAACAGTGAGCACTTGACAGTAATAGTTTTCCTAAATAAAAGTTTACTAAATGTTTCAGTAGAAAGCTGGTGAAATTAATATACTTAGTTTAAACGTAAAGTAACTATCTGGAGAAAACCAAATAGGGTACCCTTCAGCCTGGTTATTTCTTCGTTATTTTTCACGCTTTGTGGCTTCAACGTACTAAAGTAACAGAAATATGGTCTGACATGAAGATACCAACTACTAAATTATGAATTATATTGGTGGGTTTGGCCTATCAAGATTTCACTTCGACATACTGCCCAACTTCACCTAAGAAGCAAATGTCTGTGCATTTTGCCACATTATTGTCAGTAATGGCGCAAGAATTTGGACATGTAGCCGCAGTTCCATATCTGAACCAGCTTTGTTTATGCTTATGATGATGTTAACTTACGACACTTTTCAGATTTATCCACCATTAAAGCCACATACTTACTACATTTGATGCAAAAACAATAAAAGTTGACTTGTTTTACAAGCACCGAGTGTTAATTTTAGCCAGATTTCCTGATCGGCATACTGCCTGTTAAATGTGGATTGTTGAAACGTCAGGCTACCACTGTAAAACTTGACAGTTCTCTCTCTGTCATACATTTTCTTGGTAGCAAATAAACATTTTCCTGACCTTGCAATCCATTTCAGATAATGTGTGGGAACCTTAAGATGATCTACTCCACAACTGAATTGTTACATATTGTTTTGGTATTTGTATTTCCCAATGAATGTGAAGCAAAATAAATTTTTTTCAACTGATGTTTCACTATTCAGTGCTAATAGCCTTATCAAAGTTATAGTAAACCGGAATTTAAAACATCCCCCAAGCTTGTATGTAGAAACTTGACAAGTGTTCTTCTCTTGATGAATGATTCTGAGTTGTCAGAATTGTGGAACAAAGATGATATCCATATGAATTGTGTTGTGAGGGAAGTGTGTGAATTAAACTGACAGAAAGATGTCCAATGAATACCACTGACATCACCAGGGCCTCAAAATTCTGCTTCACATATAGAGGAAAACTATACAGGCAAACTAAAGGTGTTGCTACGGGTTCACCTGTTTCACTCATAGCAGCTAACCTGTTTATGAGTGGATTCAAAGAAAGCATCCTCACCCACTTACTAAATCCTAAAATTTGACTAAGGCATGTTATTAAAACATCCGTAGTTTTAAAACGTGACTTATACGAGGCATTCTTAGAACAACTGAACTCTAGATCTCCTAGTTTTAGGTTCAGTTCAGAAAAAGAAACGGATAAGAAGGAACTATCTTTCATTGATTGCATTGTTAAGCGGAAAGAAAATGGACATTTAGGTATAACCATTTTCAGGAAAGCAAAGCATTCGAAAAAATATTTAGATTTCAACTCATCACATCCAGTTAGTGCGAAAGTTTCTGGTACCTCCAGTCTTTTGAAGAGAGCACATACTCTAGTAACGGATGAAAATGAAAGAGCTAAGGAACTAAAATATACGAACAAGATACTCAAAATGAATAATCATCCGGTAAACTTCATTTGCGAAACAGAAAATAACATTAAATTAGGTCGTAAAGCTACTGCGAAATTATTGGCCTCAACAACAGGTATCTCTTACAGATCAAACATATAGAATGAAATTAGGAGAGTGCTCAAAAGAAGTACAATATCAGAGTGCTCTACAGAACATCAAACATAACAGATCACCGTAGTTCATTTGAAGGACGAGATTCCTCTAGATTCACAATCTGATTGTGTTTATAAAATAAAATGCTCAGACAGCGATGCAATATATAGGACAAACTTCCCATGAAATCAAAATTAGGAAAAATGAACACCAAACACCTATCTGACCTCGTAGAAATCCAGTGGAACTGAAAAAACTTGTAAACATATCAACCACAGCTCTATATATTATAACTTAAAGTCACAAGGTCGATTTTGATAATGTCGAAAAGATTCAGTTAAGGCTCTAGAAATTATAAAGAAAATTTCATAGCAGAATCTCTTCACACTAAGTGGAATCAAAACTGTCTAAGTAGGAACGAGGGAGCAAAACGTAGTTTGACCTGGTCTCAGCCTACTCCCGTATGCTAACTACCAACTTACATACGATAAGAACCATCAATACATGTGTACATACAAATCTGAATCCCTAATTCACACACTTCCCTCACAACACAATTCATATGGATATCATCTTTGTTCCACAATTCTGACAACTCAGAATCATTCATCAAGAGAAGAACACTTGTCAAGTTTCTACATACAAGCTTGGGGGATGTTTTAAATTCCGGTTTACTATAACTTTGATAAGGCTATTAGCACTGAATAGTGAAACATCAGTTGAAAAAAATTTATTTTGCTTCACATTCATTGGGAAATACAAATACCAAAATAAGAAATATCATTTACCTAGTGCCCAAATTTTTCAAACCGCCAAATCCTAACTTGGTTTAGATATTTATAAATTGTCATATATCAGTTATCGCTTAAGTATGTCTTGTATGACGGAAACTTCTGAAAGCTTTTTAGTAATTTCAGCTCTCTCGGCTTCATTTACTTCAGTAAAATGCCGGTTAACTAGAAGTCAGATGAAGTAACAACTTGGTACTTATGTAACCTTAAAATAGCTGAAAATTAATTTTCTTCACAGGCGCGAATAACTAGTAATTATAATAATAATCCATTTTATTCCAAACAGGTTGTGGTACAATTTAGAATTCTCAGCATGAAACACTGCAATAACAACAAAATATATGCATATACATACCCTACAGCATTTCGAATTGTGGTATTATAAAAATTTAAGTAATGTAAAGAATATTAAAAATGAGAAAATTTTGCATTGTTAATTATACTGATGAATTGAGATTTGTAACTGTTACAAAGTTAATATGTGATTTCTGTCATTAAGCTCCTTTTCTCACAAAATATGACTGCTAGGTAAGGTACAGTCGAATTCTTATACGAGTGTACAGTCTTGTGTGGTTTCTTCTAGTCCTCCATGAGGAGATACAAGGAGAGAGCTGTGAATGAAGTGGATCCTGGGTGTCAGTTAAGATTACTATAGCTAGTTGCTTGCTGTAACTAAAGTGTCTATCAACTACAGTGTAAATCAGCTGAGCAAGAGGCACAGTACTCACCCTGCTGACCGGCTTTCAAAACCCTTCGAAGACTAGGAAAGATTAATGGAGATCAATATAAAAGAATACGTAAAGTGTAGGAATTAATAAATTATAAAATAAGAGGTTGGGTTATAATAGAGAGCCTCAGTTTCTTTATGTAATAGGTTTAAAGAAAAATTTTTTTACAGGTCAACAAGATATGAGACGACCAACAATCATCAGAAGTAAAACTCAACCCAAGATAGTTAACACTGGATTTACTTTCTGTAGAAATACTATCAACGCAACAGGTGTCATGAAACTTAAGCAGCTCGCACAAGTCTCATTTACGCCTGAGGCTAAAATTAACAGTCTGATATTTAGAAGGGTTCAACTTGAGACCATTTGAAAGAGACGATTGGTCAGTAAGAGACAGGAATCCATTTACTTTAGAGTAGGTTAAGTGAGAGTTGACTGGAATGGACACCGTCAGGTCATCAGAATACTTAGTAAAGTTAGTTTCAATAGAACAAAGTGAATCGTGCAAAAAGAACGAAAACAGAAAAGGAGAAAGTACAGCACCTGAGGCACACCAGCTTCAGTGAGTAATGAAGTTGAGCGCTTCCTTTTATAGACAGTGTACTGTTTCCTTTCAGAAAAATAAGAATTCAGCCACTTTGTAACCCATGGCTCACTATGAGCTATGGCAAGCTAAGTTAACTAGAGTGGTCTAGGAGCAGAGACAAAGGTTGATGAGTAATGCAAAAAGGCACAACGAACATACTTAACACTTTTGTCGAGACTAGAAACGATATTATGACGCAAGACAGTGACAGTATCTAAAGTAATTCTCCTGTGTTTGTAAGCAAACTGTTTTGGATCTCTGAAAACCATCAATGAAGGCTCAATCACAAGCAGAATTAATTTCTTCATTGTCTTCAGAAAAGGTGAAGTTATTGCTACAGGTCGAAACATAACATCTGATCCAGAAGGTGACTTAGATACAAGTACAATTTTGATCTTCTTTCAATTAGCGGGTATTGCGTTTTTAGGAAACGATGCACTGAAGATATCTATTTGGCGATAACATAAAATATCTGCGCATTTTCTAAGTATAATACTGGAAACACTAACAAAACGTAAGCTTTGAGATGGATGCAAGGATTTTAGACATTTAAATGCATCACGTGTATTAAAACCTGGAAAGCAGCTATCCATTTGCTATGGACATTAGGAAGAGTGAAATCAACTTACCAACGTATAAATAACTTGTTTAAAGCGCAGACATCCAAGCAACTTTCTTGCGTCATCTATTTTCTACCAGTAAGCTCTTTAAATAATTGCAGTATATTAGAAGAGTTCATACACGGTAGAAACGTCTGGTTGTAAGTAGTATTCAGATGTTGTATTTCAGACTTAATTAGACAGTTGAGTGTTTTAACGCTAATGATCTCTTGCCTTATACGACCTTTCCTTTTCTCTCCTGAGCCTCTTGAGATGAGGAGAGGAAAGTTTGTCGAATATCATGTAGATTGTTTCAGCAGGGGAGTTAATATTGAGACAGAACCTGAGATAGCTTGTGATATCGGTGATAGTGTTGTCTAAAATTTCATTAGCAAATGTATCCCAGTCTATTTCTAAAAGCATGCATCTCAAATGCAGTATATTCTCTCGTGAACAGCATCTGTACTGGAATTTCCTGAAAAGATATATGAAAGCTTTCTGGTGTAATTTTCCGTCCACTTTAGGCAAAACACGTACAGTACAGTGGTCGGAGTTCAGCAGCGGAGCCCGTTTACGGGCTTCATTTATGTCAGGTTCATTCGTAAATATTAAGTCAAGGGTTTTATCAGGACTACTGGAAAAGCTAACCATATTTTTGTATGACCCAATGTTACTAGTAAACTGTAGTCACATTAGTTAAAATCTCCACAGACTATAAACAAGGAGTTACCCGGAACCGGAGCAGGGAATTCAGTCAATTCATCGTCAGAATTTGACAAATATGAGAAACTGCAGTCAGATATGACTTAAATGTTTGTTATGCATATATGTTTATACTTGCTCAACGGTTTAGGACGATATTTAATGGTAATGTACTCAATCGTTTCGTTAGCAAAACAGAAGCATACATAGTTGGAAAAGGACCAATTTGCATTGATAAATGTTGCTACACCACCACCACATTTCTTCTTGGAAAAGCTTTGATCTTGTCAAAACAATTTGCAGCCATTTAAGCAGACTAAATCAGCATCGTACAGGTTATGAAGCCTGTTTCCTGTAGCATTATTATATCCGTGTTACGATAAACATTTGTGGACAGCTTGACTGAAGGTAATCAACTTTACTCGGTAACGACCTGCAGTTTATGCTAGGTATTTCCGCAATAGTCACGTGATCTATGGTCACAAGCTTGAGGGCCTGTCACCATCCACCGTGGTGCTTCTTCTTAATTTGCCTATCGACCTGTGAAGCGATAGCTTGTAATGATTTTAAAAACGCACGGAAGTACGCAATACCATTGGTTGACATAAATGAACGATTAAAATAGTATAGGAAGAAGAAATTTGATGCAATATATTCTGTGATAAAAATAAAGTAGCCCATTAGTTCAAGCAGGCTGCCAGACAGCTACTGATTGGAGTCAGAAGTGTCTATTGTATGGCCTTTTTCTGCTTTATTTGAATCAATTTTTGTATCTTAAATGTTTATGTCTTTAACTGAAATCAAGTTTATTTCAAAGACAGGTTTTCTTCGAGAGCCTATGATAATACCTGGAAACCACTTTACATAAAATGCACTTCATCAGATGATCATCTGTAAAACCGAAAAGTTTTTCAGATAATTCATGACTTACATTGATATACGTATGTAACAACTGTCCATTTTTATACGTTATATGGGGTCCATTTTTATGGCTGACCAGTAAACCTTTTGGTGTTTTCAATAAACTGGATCTAACTGGAGTACATGTAACATGTTCTGGAACTTCCAGTTTTTTGCCGGCTAAATTCATTGCTGTAGAAATATGTTCAACAACACTTCTTGTCATTTGTGCATGAAGCTGAAAGTCAAAAGGTAAATGAGCAAGATAATTTTATATTTGAAATTATCGACTATTAAATAAATCTTATTGATATGCTTTCAATCTTACTAATGACTGGATCAAGAAAGTGCTCGGAGGCTGTTATTGTATGAAGTCTCACAATGTTAATCTTCTTGTGGTCATGGCTGAGTACCGTGTTCACTGTGATGTTTTGAGTCTGAAATGCATAATATTGAGGTTTCATGTTCACATAGAAAAGATTTTTGTTTATCCGAATCTAAACGTTTTCTTGGATTTGTATAACCTACTGTCAGCATTCAAGACTAGGTAACATGTAACTGGTTACTTTTTGGTGACCAATCAGTGCAATACATCTAGTCCTGCAAGAAGGCAATTGTAATATTAATATTTCAGTGCCAGTGTGTCTGACTGCAGTACTAAGTAACACGAGTTCTAATCTCACAGGGAATATCAACTGAAAATACACCCTGCTGATGAGTGTCAACAAGCGTAAAACCTAGACTGATGTCTTCCTTTCCGTCGATTTCAGCTATTCGGAAGAACAGTAAGATGATATTTTGCAAGTGTCACCGACAAGAAGCCTAAAACTTCTGGAAATCTACAGTCTTTACAAAGGACAGTGAGATGTTCTACTGTTGTTTGGGTAACATACGTGTCTATAAAATCAAAACATAGTCTGAACAGTTTATCGAGTTACTCTGCAATTATCTGTCAAGATAACGTCTAAACGTTTGGGGAACTTGATCTTCTGAGAGTGAATTGACACAGCTACTACAAACTCTCAGTTTACAACTAATTTGCCCTTTTTAGTATAGTGTCTAAAACTATGTTCCATTTTTAACAATCTAATGATATGGACATCAAAATTGTACCTTCATATTGTTTTCTTATTGCTTTTTTAATCAAATTAAAAGATTTTTAAAAGTTAGTTAACCACAAGTTAATTAACAACAAGAAGTAAGGTAAAATTAAAACGTTTTCTGAAAACCAGTTAAGAGTTGTTTAGTCTCGGTTAGAGACTATTCACTGTTGCAAAACCCACGATTAATGAAGGTGTGGATCCTGAGGAATCAAGATCCTAGGACCATCGTATTACTCATCAGTCATAGCAAAAACATACTTAGTTTCTTCACGAATTAATTTCCTCCTTATTCAGGTCATCAGCCAGCATTTGCTATCATTCTTAGGCTTGTTCTAATAGCCTTCATTTCCTATTTTGTTTTAGTGTGATAAGGTCACCTAACCAGCTGACTATGTCTTTCTACAAGACTCTAAATTAGCTTTTTTTTAAAAAGATAACCCAACAAGCTGATAACTAAAACAAGAGGAAAATAGTGCACAAGTAGTGCTTTTATATGGCCGAAATAAATATTTCTTTGAAAAGTCCATCATCCTGTTTTTAATAAATGAAAAAGAATAAGAAAACGAAATGACTTACACTGACATTTCAAAAGTTGAGAGGCATGAAGAGCTTAATAAATTTCATTTAGAATTCAGATGCCTTGCTATTGACGTATAAGAATGTGAAATCATGGTCAAACAGCTTTTTACCTATTACCGTTCATATTCTTCACAATTCTAAATAGATTTTTTCTCTTAAAAGCTAATCAACTTTTTTCAAGTGAGCACAAGTTATCATTGTACAAGTATGAATGTATTATGAGTTGATGTTTTTCTGTGGTAAGTTCATCTTTGAAAATCCACAGACTAAGGTTAGGCTTACTGAAGTTATTGATATAATTTCAAATGTTTGCATCACAGTATGAGATCTACTTAAAGGTGTAGTAAATGATAGCGATGAAAGCCCGTTAATGAAAGTGATAACAACGATTAGGGTGAAAAATTTGGAGTACCGAATTCAATAAGTAAGGCTTACTAATCATACATCAACGATGCAGACTGAATAGTATTCAGATATGCTAAAAACAGTGCCGACTTGATTAATCAATATCTAGTGATAGAATACCTTATAAAAGCAAGTATGCAGGTATATCAACAACCCGATATGGTCATGCTACGTCTGTCTGGTGATATATCACCCATACTTCGGTTTTTCAGTTGGTTTATCTGGTGTCACTTTGCTGGTGATAACACTGATTAACCAGATCAATAATGAGGGATTCAGTTACCCTATTTTTCTACTTTGAGTGGACAAACTCATTTATTCCGAACCCATTAGGTCTAAAATACTTACTTTTTAATGAGTGGTTTTTATTTCCGTCTGTCGTAACCTTCGTATAAATTTTAGTAACTTCTCTAGTCTAGCAGTGATACTGCTGTAAAACTTGCTCACTGTGGTTGATTGTAATTCCATTATAAGTTGTTTATTAAGTGTATTGCACAGTGAAGCAGTATTATACTGGGTAACGTATTGAACACAAGATGTCCATATTTATTTTATACATGACATATTTAATGTACAAACAAAAATGTTGTCAAGTAGTTAGCTATTAACTCTTAAATAAGATTGCTTTATTTTAAGTGGAGTTCAATTTATGTGGTAATAGCATTCTACACGTCTACTGCATACTATATTACGAGTAGAACTTGATATCTTTAATGCCCCCTGATGCGATAAAACGTCCTTGTTTATGAAACAAATGACCGGCATTACAAAGATGGGGAGTCTTTTGATCTTTATTGAACGTAACTTCGAGTCCCCTATACGGCTTGTAATTATTTCTAATTTTTTATCAGAATCACTGTATACACAACTAAATTTATTGAACTAACTACTTTACAAAGGTACAAAGCAAAACTGTACAGGTGATGATTTGCTCCGTATTACATTACACTAGGGAAATATGCTTGTTTAAATGGCAAAACGTGAGTCTAGTTAAAGATGTTCTACTACCAGGGTCTCTTAATTATTGTCCGTGTTGAGAAATCATCAGTTTATGTATAAAAATGTTGAAGTTTGTCTTCCGGATGGTGAAAAGTCAAATTAGTCACCGAGTTTACAATGCCAGTCAGTGACGCTTATTATAGATGACAACAATAAAGTAAGCTTTAAGAGCATGGATTGCTGTCAACAACTTACATCGCTGTCTGAAATCACTGGTGAGATCCAGTTGTCTAGATTAAAGCTTACAAGATTTCGACAGTCAGTAGTTGTTAGTCCCAAATGATACTGCTCTCAAAGTCGAATGAATGGGTTTGTAATATTTTTCATTACCTTGAACGTCATGCTTTACAAGAATATCACAGGGGTTGCAGAACAGTTTAAACTCATGTTTGCTTGTTTACCAATCACTTCACCCAGCGGGTTATTATTATTAATAGTATAATATTTCATATGCAGTGCTTCAGTTGTGAGGACTAGTTTCTACAGAACCAACCTCTCTTCCCGTGTTGTATAGATAGCAGAATTCTCCAGTTATGTGAACAAATGCTGAATCCCCCTATTTTGCATGTGAATGGTGTCGATTAAATGAACTAAAAATTCAACTGCATGTCTTTCTCTCTCCTTCTCTTCACCTAATTGCCTAAGTTTATCCTTCAGACTGGTGGTCATAAACCCTAAACGTGTTCTTGTTGCCAAAGGTTTATTGAAGTTATAAGATCTTCTTATGTCTTTTCAGAGTATGCCGAAGTTTCAGTTTGCCACTGGAGGGTTTTGGAAACGTGTGAGTTACACATTTACACCATAGGATCCAGAACATGTTGATGAATTTTACCCTAATGAACAAAATGAAGACAGAAAAGTTTTCCAGAAATTAGTTTTTAAAGGATGGCATATTCAAACTAGTATTATGCTCCATATCGTCCCATCTTATATCAGTAGTCGCATTAAACGTCGAATCAGCAAATGAACTTAAAAAAGTGAATACTCTATTTAACTAATTCTATTTTATAACTGCATGGCAAAGTGTATAGGTGGAATGAAAGATCTCGGTGAGATACTGAAACTAGGAAACAACTCAACTAGAATCATGCACATAATCGGTGATCACCAAAGAGTGTGATAGCATGCAGTTCATTGAATCAACACCATTCACATGCAAAATAGGAAGATTCAGCATTTGTTCACATAACTGGAGTATTCTGCCATCTGTACAACACGGGAAGACAGGTTGGTTTTGTAGTTACTACTTCTGATACCTGTGGTGTTTCAAATTATACGATATTCCATGAACAATAATGCTATTTCACTACCTGAAAATGGTGGTAACGAAATCAAAAACACTTAGGGAGATGTAATATACAGTAACATTCTGTAGGCGATTGCTGAGAGCGGTAAAGATATTTTGTTGAATGAAAAGCAGTATCATTAAAAAGAAACCTCATTATCCAGTGAAAGCTTCTTCAATAATTAAACTTGGTAGCTTGTGAGCGTTGAGTGATTTCAGTGTGGTATTCATGATGGAATGGTATCCCCTGGATAAGCATTAAAAATCTGGGAGCTACACACAGCTGTTTCGTCCTAGTATGGGACTTCTCAACAGTGAACAGCCACGATACCACCACGAAGGGAACACAGGACCATCACGTTTTGCGGTGACCACGTCCACACTGAACTGCCTGGTTACGATCTGATGGTCTGCACTATTCTACTTCTTTCAATTCGTGATATGATGCAATTACCATTTAGTGAAGTCGTTGGTTATATGCCCTAAACTCAGACTTCATAAGTCCCACAAATTAAGACTTTGTATTGGAACTTCGGGAAATCTCATCTCGAAGCAAGTCAGTAATGAACACTGGACAGTTATTCAGTTTGGAGGTTAATTATTTCGCAGAGCTGATGCTCTCAGTCATAATATGAATGTGATGTGGATTTCGAGGATAATCTGCAATCAAGAATATCTTCAACTCAGAATCCTTGAGTTGATGGAGAATACTTGTAGCTCAGAAGGATCATTTGTATGGTGATGTGTTCTCTGAACTGAAGGGTTTAGTCGAAAAGCTCTCATTGTCATGCTAGATAACATCATCAGCACAATCTTTGGAAAGAAGTGAGCTATAGGGTCTTCTCCCCAAGTCCCTTAGTAGCTTGTCCTGATGACCTTGTATGTGATTGATTGTTTCTCTCGAGAGTCTTGTCATTGTCTCCATGTTTATTTTGATTGATGGTCTTGAGGGCCGTGAACATTGACCTTGTCGTTGTTTCTTATTGGTTGACAGATTGGGTCAGTGTCAGTATGTCTTTTGGTAGCTGACTGAGGTGAACACCAAGCTTCTAAAATTTCTGTGGCAAAGTTCACGGCCCTCAGGACCATCAATCAAAATAAACATGGAGACAATGACAAGACTCTCGAGAGAAACAATCAATCACATACAAGGTCATCAGGACAAGCTACTAAGGGACTTGGGGAGAAGACCCTATAGCTCACTTCTTTCCAAAGATTGTGCTGATGATGTTATCTAGCATGGCAATGAGAGCTTCCAGATTAAAATCTCCAGTTCTGAGGAAGCAATACCATATTAATCCTTGTTTTGTGTAACATTCATGATTATTATATACATTTTTAACATTGCAACTACCGTACTTCAGTAGACGTTTTGGTAATATATTTCTGAAATGTCAGTCAAAAATTGAGAAGGATTTATGAGAAACTATTTAAATTTAATTGGTTTTGTTCGCCATATAATTACACGGAAAAATAAATTTTGATAAGATTTATTTTGAATTTCGGCTTATTCACAAAATTAAGTGATTGTTTCGATTTTACGAGATTAGATTAGCCTAGCTTTTACCCTGACTTTGGGCGAACTCAGCATTCCTTTGAGTTTTGCATCAGCAACTGACAGTAGTGATCGCTAAAAACAGTGCTCAGATCCATTTCTATTGTTTTCAAACTGCTGTCAATAAAAAGCGGTATGGCCTAATTCATCATGAATTTAAAAACCGCCAGTGACCACAGGCACCTTGAGTTAACCGGTGATAATTGAATAGGGTTAGTTTGATTCAGGTTAAGGTTAGCAGTATGAACTGCCTGTGGTTACGGAATTGGGATAAATTTCCGTAGCTGGTAGTGGTAAAGTGGTCCTCCTTTGGATTTGTAGAAATAAGACAGTGGTATCTGGGCATATTTTTCAATAACACACTATCATCTACCTTTCCTTGTAAACTGAATTTTTAAACTGCTGAACGTCGTTTATTATCAGCATAAATGCGTGACTACTGAATCTGCTACAATCCTGTGAAATTAAATAATTACTGCCCTTTTTATCGAAAGATTCCATTAGTACACGAACATCCATCCTACCACATGAATACAACAAGACAATAACCTGAACATATGGAGTACATGAAAATACTATCAACTTGACGAATAAATTATTCGCCGACCTGCGGCTAACTGACAAACACATTGAAACTACACACGTTAAAAAAATAGACTGACATGAAAAAGTACGATTTTCGGCACATATTCTACACCGAAATCAGTAGAGAAAGCCTACGGAAAGAAAAAACATTTATGATTATTAAACTGGCAGATACTGCTCCTAGTATCTGCTTGCAAGTGAAAATTCGTTTGATATTCTTGAAAAAGCTCACTTATGAGTAAATTAAACTGTTGACTTCCATTTGACATACAAAATCAAAAAAAGACTCAGACGCTAAAGAGCTACATCTAACTAGCCTGAGATGCTTCAGAACTGCACATTCATTAATTCATCCACAATTAAAACTGAAGCTTCCAAGGTTTGTGACGAGAAAGTCAATTCGCAGCCATTATATCATCGTCTGATTAATGGCCATAGGAAGTGTCAAATTCTATCATGAAAATGTGGTTGAAAACAACTCAGTGAAGAATATTTTTCTTCCACAGAATCAATTCAAAAAGCTATACATTTATATTTATACATACAACAAGAAAATATGTTCCTTCAGTGGCTATAGGTCAACAAGAAGTTGTCGAAAATTATTTCAGGATTACAAGGCGATTGTGTAATAGTCTGTGAAATAATAGAACTGGTAGGAAAAGTGGAACATTAATACAGAGATAAACGACCACAGAGTGGCTAAAGCGAGTGGAAGTAATATTTTTGATAAATCGAAATCTAAGAATTTTTGAAAGGAACTTCGTGAACAGTAATGCAGTATTCAAATGCTACACGGACTTTCTAAAAAGTGTGTTCTACACAAACGCATCTCCAAGAGCTTCTCCAAGCACTATTCTGCGTGGCTGTTTAGACGGTAGTGCAACTCGATCAATGGCTAGATTGTCGAATATATGTTTAATTTTTGTCACTCCTCTGCACCAGGATTTTCCTTCGTAGTCTTTTGTGACATCAGACAAAACATTTTGAAGGGTGTGCAGACTTATCACTTTAGCGTAGCAGAAACCCTAGCATTTCAACTGTTCAAGTCTGATCTTTGCATTCAAGATGTGAGCCCCATCTGGAATTTTACTTGACATAATCTTTCAATAAATTCTTAGATTTCGATTTATCAAAAATATTACTTCCACTCGCTTTAGCCACTCTGTGGTCGTTTATCTCTGTATTAATGTTCCACTTTTCCTACCAGTTCTATTATTTCACAGACTATTACACAATCGCCTTGTAATCCTGAAATAATTTTCGACAACTTCTTGTTGACCTATAGCCACTGAAGGAACATATTTTCTTGTTGTATGTATAAATATAAATGTATAGCTTTTTGAATTGATTCTGTGGAAGAAAAATATTCTTCACTGAGTTGTTTTCAACTACGTTTTCATGATTTCTAAATGATTACTGCTCACTTTTATCATAGAAGCACTTGTATGAAGTGATGATTAGCGATTTACTTCTCTTTCTGAATATTTTGGGATCTGAACTTTCAATATTTATTCACTCCTATTTATTACTGGTCATGCGCGAATCAACATGTTGTATATTATTATATTCAGGTAAGGCACACCTCAATGCATATTGGATAACCAAATAGGTTCTCACCGATTCAGTTTCTAATTCGTTTGGTATTCCTGGAATTTTGAATCGAACCAAAGCAATATTGCCTTTGACGCGTTGAAGTGAATTCATTAAACTTTCAAGAGAGCCCTTAATAATTAAAAAAAGATGGAAAGAAGTTTTGAAATTAATTTCGCAAGACTATTACCACATAACAAACGCTATGCTATGGACTTATTACTAACTGGAATTGTTTGTGAGAATACGGGAACCTTTCTAGTTTACTTATAGTCATTTATAATGGTTGTGACAATACAAGTCGAAATAAAAGTTTCTGATATTTCCTTTCTCTATAAATTAGTAAATACTTTTTAGGATGAAACAAACTGCACTCCATATGATCTTTTCAAGTAGTTGTGATTTATCTTGGCTGTTATGACGTATACAGTTATTCTTGGCGCGACACAAAACGTTCCTATGGAACACTTGTTTTGTTGAAATCTTTATTCTATGGATATGTTGGGTGTGGTGTCGTGGATGATATGATTTTTTCAGTGCTTGTCCATTTTCTAATAATTTGTCTTCTATACTCGTTATGTTGAATCCTGCTTATAATTACCTGGATGGCCCTGTTTCATGTTCTATTTCGCATTGAGTGAACTTTAGTGTTTGAACAGTTCTGTTGGTTTCAGTTTAGTTGTACATGCTTAGCACTCAACAAGATAGGTTGTGAGCACATGGCTGACGTTATTTTACAAATGTCATGAATTTTTATACTAATTTTCATGATTCAATACAGCAGTGAGAAAACGCTTATAACTGCAACTCTAATAGATACTTTATCTCCTGATGAGTTGTAAAAGAAAGCAAATATTGAATATTGACAATGCAGAAGAATGACATTTTTGGCTCAGAAAAAATTCGATTCCCTAGTTCATAGAATTTTTAATGTAGAGGCAGTTATTTATAGCCAACTTGCATTCTTTTTAAGTTATATAATAAAGGACAAATTGCAAAATGTTTGTACTACCAACAGTTACTTCATGACATTATTATTATATGAAAGAGTAGGGTGAATAGACCTTTTTTAGAAATTTAAGTCTTAAGCGGTATATATATATATATATATATATATATATATATTGTCTACAGGAAAATCTATGTGCATGGCAATGTACATCCCAAGTCAGTTTTTGATTTCTTGACTAGAATATTTATTTTTCATTCGATAACTATTGGTCTGTAAATAGCGTGTTTTACTGCCTATTTTCAAAACAACATGTAGGTTAAAAATCTCCGAAGCTGGTAAGTTTACCCATACTGTCTTTTTGATAGAAATCACGTCTGATTGGCAATATTTATCAAAGTCAGACTAATATAATCTATGCTATAATATGCTATCGCCATTACATTATTATCTCCTTTGCTACTGCTATCCAAATGATATCGAAGCCGTCTGATATTTATATATTCCAATAGAGAATGGGTATTTTTACCATAACCAGACTCTATTTTTGTACTGTTTTAATGAAAATAAGCAAACCATCTAAAGAGTTTTGGATGTGGTACATTTCAGATGAATAACTGTATGGCGCTAAAGACCTTGACTTTCGATATCAGTGGGAAGGCTGCTTCTATTCCCCACAATAAAAATAAAATGAGAACGTATGTCACCGAAAGAGGTATTTGTTTCTCCAAAAAGGCAATTATTTTCGAACCATTTGGCAAGAATAATGAAGCGCCTATCGATTCGGTCAGCACCGGATAATTAAGGGAAATAGGAAGTAAATGTCGGTGACGTATCACTGTGTTGAAGTTGGCTTGTATATGACAGTATTAGAGTAAAACATAGGCTCTGTGATAGAGTATCATTCCATATTAGATTATTTATTTGGTATGACACACAGTGACATAAAACTTTTTACCGAATGACGTTTTGAGCAGTGTTTATTGCTTATATTCACAGCAGCAGTTTATGTTTCCTTTCAAACATTGGAGGTTGTCTAATTGTTGCGTGTCACGTGGGAATTGAATTACAAACGCAACCAGATAGTGGCAATAATTATGCATATCAGATGGATGCAACTTTCTTGCTCAACTATGCAATGAAGAGTTACAATAATCACTTGGTTTATTGAATACACCGACCGCATGCTTCACTGCAAATTAGATTTTTTCTTTGGAGATCACTCTTAAACATTCATGCCGTGAAATTTTGAATTAAAATATTTTCCTGTAAACTGGGTTTTGGTTGTGGGACACTCATTGGTACAGATGATGACAAGTGGATTACGACAATAGCCTATGAATAAAATAGTTATGTTCATCTTCAAAACCTAATAAATGCTTATAAACCAATGATACAGTATTCATTTTCACACGGACGAACTCAATAGATTCTCAAAACAATCCTTAATCTCTAAAGAGTGCATTTTCATTTCATATTTATTCCTGACTGACTGCTCCAATCCACAACTAGCGTGAAGATACTTTGAATCCAATTCCTTCTTTTCTACTCCGGTATGTAAATAAATGGTTACTTTTTAATCTAAGGATTTGTGGGGATTTATTGATCAATTTCACTTTGGAATTCATCATAGGCTGACGTCAGTTGAAAAAATATTGGAAACCCGAAGGTACTGAAAGTCTGTTTCTTCCTAGTATGGGACTCTTCAGCAGCGAGCACCCTTGACCCTGCGGCAGATCGAGCCAGAACCTTCGTGTTTTGCTGCCAACACGTTGCCGTTAAGCCAATGGGTTAGAAAATGCGGTAATAATTAAATTGGTTTTGGTTTTTTCAATACTTTTATGATTTCAAAGCCGATATCATTTGCAGATGATGAGTTTCAAGCACTCATATTAGTCGGCAGTAAAATGTTGATCAAGCGATATTATTGAAGTCAGTTGAAGGTGAGATAAATATACCACTGTGATAGGAACTCATTCTTTTAAACAACTTTAATCTCATTCTTGTTGCAACTCCATCATTTCTTTATTGAAACCATGAACTTACATCATTGAAAATGAAGTACTGTGCATAATTTGGATTGACTTCTTGATCCCCCATCTGTAAACAAAAGGAAAATAATTTTATGGCTTAACAGCTAAGTAAGCTTCTGTACACTCCATTAAAACTAGTCAAGTCAACATTCTGTCTAAACAGATGAATGTACGATTGCTGGTCATTCGCTTATTTGTACACCAAAAATCTGTATTAATTCTCTACTTAGTCCTACCTTTTTTGTGATAAACAAACTACATAGAATTGCGCGCAGAAGTGGAATACTAGAATATAATAAAATGGCATGACTAAAACTTCTTGAGTTTGCTCATCCTTCATCCTGAAGAAAGTGGCAACCACTATTGGCGCTGTCAGACCAAATAAAAAGTATCATTAAATCTAAGAGATAAGACAAGTGCTGAATAAGTCACAGTACAATGTGCATTTGCGCTTTAATAGCCGCAGAAAGTGAGATAAAAATTTGACAAAACCGGAAATACTAGCTCTGAGGAATCTACGAAGCGCCACTAATTTAGTAATTGCTAAGGGTAGTAGGTGTAACTTTACAGCAGTTATTAACAAGTCAGATGACTCCATGAAAGTCAATCAAAACATCCACATCACGTAAAGTGACTAAGAAACTTATAGGTTTGGTTAAGAAAAAGACTAAGAAGTCTACAGATGATTTTGTACTCCTACTGGAGCCTGTAAGCAATAAGTTCAGAAGAATGTATGGTGCTTTGAACGTTCATAAACTCGATCATCTTATTGGATTGATAACTGACTAAAGAAACGTCACGAAAAATGGGCAAACTGAAAATAATTGTTTTCTTCAAGCCTTGAGGTTCGTACTTGGACATTTCATCACCAAGTCCGGTGACTTTATCAGCACTTACTTCAGGAAAAATTCAGGCATTTTTGAAGTGTTATTAATGAAGAAATATCACTACTGGTTGATGTCCATAAAGTTTTCAGTCTGTTAGATTGCGAGATTGGTCGATACAATGATTTTGACAGTCCTTGCAACTAACTTAATAGTTTAGATTCTTCTTGTCTTTTTTAGGTAATGGATCCTTCCGCTTGGATATATGTTCTTCAGGGATGTGGTTGCTATTGGGACAAACTGATACCAAATGTGGGAAGTAACCAATATCAACCGCGGTAGCTAATTCACACACATAAACTGGTGATAGAGAAACTACATAATCCAAAGTAGATGGAAGTTGAACACATAGGCTTATCAGTGTTGGGTTTCAAGACAAAAGAAAACGAAGACAGTAGGCTAGAGGCAAATGATTAGTAAAATCATCACAGCTTAATAGATGCATCAACGTTTGGTCGACCCACTACACATTAGTTAGGCTCGTTTTACTTAAGTGATTGAGCAGTCGAAGAATGAGCCTATTCAATAAATCAAAATGATTAACTATAGAAATGAAATACATGAGGTAAGCTTTATTTCGAAATAACTGTTTCCAAATTGACTCAGAAATTCACAGTAACATAAAGTGGGAAAAGAAATAATGTGATCAGCGATTGGAATGTGACCATGAAAGAAACCAAGGCCTCTATTATCTGGCTGTATAAGAAGGAAATATCAGAAACTTCATTCGGGCTTAACTATTAGGATGGGATAGGCATGGTACTCCAGCCAGAATATTTATTTAGAGGCAACTTTTGTGGGCTTTAAGGTTCTGTTGACACGGCCGCACTAAATGCTTTAACTTACCGAATTCCTGGCAATGTCTGTAAAGTCAAGTGCACACGTTAACTAGATCATAGGAATTCTCTAGGTCAGCAGAATATAAGAAATTAGCTAAGTATAAATTGATAAACCCTATTGAGAAGAGTGATCCGGAAAAGAATTCAGCCATACTCATATATATGAGAACACAGCTACAAAATTTAGTGAGCTACATTAACGTTTTTAACGAATAATGTATTTACGTAGGGAAGAAGTCTGAACACTGAATCTATGTTCATCGATTCACTACCTAACACCCGTAACAGAGATGATGCAAGGTAAATCTCATATGAATGGAAAATTCTACTGCTAGTCAAGTCGAACGCCAGGACTTCGAACTGACACTGTTGTCTAGAACGACAATTAAGATTTTCCATTTAAACCGTTCAACCCAGAAAAAGCAACAGGAAAAGCAATAAGTTATTCTCCAAGTGTCATCTAGTATGTAATACAGTATGGCTGTGTGGTATATCAGACAGAATAATTTAGTATGAAATTACACATTGACACTGCTCAGATTCTCTAACTACGCTGTTCAAAATTTTACTCCTAGTTTAGAATTTCAAACTACAAATGCAGAACTAATTTCTAATCTGCAGACTGTGTAATTTAGATATAAACATGATTACCTGGTTTTAATTACCTATATTTCCGAAGTATCAAATATAAAATTCTTACTCCAAGATATGCTTCAGCATTTCTAAATCGTTGTTCTGAAAAGTCGTTTCGTGACTAAATTCTATTTGTCAATTATATTCAGGATTCCGTTCTAACAGAAACCATAATATAAAAATGTATTCATCTAACAGTTTGTCAAATGTGGATGCAATGCGTTCATTTATGTTCGACAGCAATTTAACTGATAACCTTATAAATACGTTCACCAACATTCATCCAGTGTTTCAGTATTATGACTATATTACATAACCTCGCCTGGATTATAGTTCACTAGTTACTAGCCGGTTATAAGCCCGGGAAAAGAGGGAAGGTTGGGCATAGGGCTAACAACCCTAACCCGGAAAACAAATCTAAACGCTGAAGAAACTTTAAAGCACAAACAAAATATAAAACACAAAAACAAACTTATTCCTCGCAATAATCGGAGAGACGAAATGACGCCGGTTGGTGAAAACCTTCAGGAAGCCGGTCGGCCGATGTGTCTTCTCTCCTCTCGATGAAAGCGAAAGTAAAGCTGGGGATATGGAATGTCCGCACCATGTACGAACCTAGCGAGGCTGCTCAGATTGCAAAAGAGATGAGGAGGTATGGCATGGAAGTGCTTGGAATCTGCGAAGAATCTGCAGACGGAATGCAAGTGGACTCTCCAAACTGTCAACTGGAGAGGAGTCAATAGTCTAATCTACTCCGGTCACGCTGATGACAACCACGAGCACACTGAGTTTTCGAGTGGCTATCATGATTTCCCTAAGAACATCGAAGGCCCTCATGCAGTGGGAACCAATCTCCTCCTGCATCAGGATCATGACAGCAAGGTTCAACTCAAAAAGAACGAGTCACAATTGTACAATACTACGCACCTACAATTAATGCAGATCAAGAGAAGGAGAAATTCTATAGACAACTGCGATTAGTACTAGACAAGACTCCACCTCATTTGGCGACATCAAAATTCTAATGGGCGACATGAGTGTCAAACTGGGAGCGGACAACACAGAAAGAGAACTCATCATGGGTCGAGAAGCACTCGGTGAAATGATGAGTGAGAATGAAGAACTGTTTGCTGATTTCTGCACATTCAACAATTTCGTGATTGGAGGCAGTGTATGCAAACACAAGGATATTCACAAAGCGATATGGATTTGATCTCACTAGATGGACACACTAAAAACCAGATCGACTTCATCTCAATCTGAAGAAAGTGGAGACGCACTCAGCTTACTGGACACAAGATGAAGAAGGGGAGCAGGTGTATCTTCACGCCACTCACCACTATCTAGTGCAAGAAAACTTCCAAATCAAGTTGATAGCCTTCAACAAAGTTGGTGATAGACCACGGTTCAAGTTCAACGCCCAGAACAAAAACTGAAGGACGAAACTACAAGGGACATCTTCACGTCAGCCATCAAGACAAAATAGGAGATATCGAGCAACATCCCTGAAGAAACTTGTGTGGAAGAACACTGGAACTCTTTGAAAGCTATATGGAAAGAAACCTGCATAACCTTATTAGGAAGGAAGAGGAAACGAGACAAGGAATGGATCTCGACGGATACATGGAAGCTGATGGAGGAGAGGAGGATGGTGAAGCAGAAGATGTACCAGTGCAAGGATGCACAACGAAAAGACGAACTGAGTACAGCGTACAAAACACTAGATGAAGAAGTGAGGAGTTCGCGCAAAGACAAAAGACACTTCTATGACATATTGGCAAGTGAGGCAGAACAGGCAGCAGGTAAGAGAAACCTGAGAACATTGTATCAAATAATCGGGTTACTATCGATCTGGGAAGAGATCAACACAGACGAAATCAATGAATGATGGTGAAGGAAAGTTGGTTAGCGAAGATGAGAAACAAAGGAAACAATGGGCTGACTACTTCAGAAAGCTCTTGAATCGACCACCACCACCACCACCACCTGCAACTAGTCCAGAAATACCACCAGCAACAGCAGAACTACCAATGCACACAGGCCCTCCGACAAAAGCAGAAGTCCTGAATGCCATAAAACTGCTGAAATGCAGGAAAGCAGCAGGACAAGATGGAATCCCACCACAAACACTGAAAACAGACGCAGAGACAACAGCGGACATGCTCACACCACACCACTATTGCAGAAGGTCTGGGAGGAAGGGAAGGTACCTGCAGATTGAAAAAACGGTCACCTTGTCAAACTCCCGAAGAAGGGAGACCTCAGTGTTTGCAAGAACTGGCACGGAATCACTCTCTTGTCCATCCTAAGCAAAATATTAAGCCGCATCATCCTGGAGAGACTAAAAGATGCTCTCGATTCAAAATTACGACCGGAACAGGCAGGCTGGATTCAGGAAGTACAAATCATGTGCGGATCAAATCGCAACGCTACGCTACGCATCATCATATAACAGAGTATAGAATGGCAGTCAACTGGATCTCTATCTCAACTTCATCGATTTTGGAAAGGCCTTCGACAGCGTTGACCGAGAAGTAATTTGGCAGCTGCTGCTTCAACACTACGGTGTGCCACAAGTCTTTATCAATCTCATTCAACAACTATATGAAGACGCCACGTGCCGAGTGATCCACAATGGAAAGCTCAGTGATGCCTTTGAAGTGAAGACGGGAGTAAGACAAGGCTGCCGCCTACTTTCACCCATGGTCTTC